TAGCTTTTTAAGAAATTTTGAAATTTCATTCTTAACGCCGCGTCACGCTAATTGACAATAGCGCGTTTTGACAACATCTTGAAAGTCGATAGAAAAAGTCTTTCATTTATTCAAATCCCACACGTATTAATTGAACACTCGCCAGCTTAACTCTCTGCCTTAAAGTTAATGGCCTGAATACATATTTATACATAAGTCAAGATAAGAGAAAATAGTTAGCGTGTTAGTAGTAGTCAGTTAGTATAGTGAGTTAATAATTAAGATAACCGAGGTGTGTCTTTTGAAGTCATAGTAAGCAAGTAACAACAAGTAACGACATCAGTCAATCAATGAATCACTTAAGAAGTTGTAGATTTAAGGCATCAATCAGTCACGTCAGCCTTCTTAACGAATCAATGTGCTTTTAAGAACATTGATCTCCGGCAAAATTACTTATGACATAAACTTATCATATGTAAGCGCAACACAAATACAAGCCAAATAGAAAGCAAAAAACTTAGTCGCGAATCTCTAACAAAAACATCTTTTCATCAGCAGCTTAAGCTAATTTAAGTTGATGCTGCAAAGCCTAAAGCAATATACCGTATCACATAGTACATCGTAGATAAGTATACGAATTTTTTTTTTTTAACTATTAATAAAACTTTTTATCTTTTATATAATTACGATGCGAATCTTATCGCCAGTAAATGTATATAAAAAAAAGTCGTTTGATTAACTCTCACATGTTTCAAGATAGCTTTCATATTAGGAAACGAGTGAATAAATATTCATCGATTCTCTTTAGCTCGCAAAATTCCATTTCCTTTCTTTATTATTTAACACGTTTCCTACCACATTTACCGTTCTCGGTACACGGTAAAATCCATTTGAGAAGACAAAGTTTTCATGTTTGATCATCACTGACGTAAGCAAGTCAAGAACAAATATTTGGCAAAAGAATTAACTATAGTAAATTTCGATCACGTGAACTCACGTTTTGAATCCCTTCTCCTATAAGAGTTTTTTTTTCTAAATAATCATTATACGCTACACCATCCTTTGTAGAGGGTATATTAAGTTTATGCGGACTCATGTAACACCCACAAGCGCCCTTTCGTTTCAATCGGGGAATGGCTTCTATTACTGTAACACGACCGAATCCGTAAAAAGCGAAGAAAGAAAGATGGTGGCCGGCAGGTCGGCGGGTACTCATGAAAACTATACCCTTGCATGAAAATAATGTGTAAAGTTTGATATGTTATTACCATAATGACTGACTGAATAGCTGTATTAGGCGAAGTAGTGTAGGGTATCGACTGGTCGGCCTTGCTCGACTATAATATTCTCACATCTTTTTTTTTTAAATTGCTGACTAACAAGTCAGCATTTGCGAGTTCAAATCTCAGTGCGATAGAGTTTACCTTAGTCGCAGCTATAGTTAATGGTCAGCCGGTGAAGGCTGGTAATTCTCGTTTCAAGGTAAGCTCTGTGAAACTGAATACATCTATTTGTGAGTTTATTTACGGTTTAATGAAATGTTTTACAAAATATAGGATAATAAACGCGCTATAGCTTTAATACGCACCCTGTTGCATGTACTGTTTTCAGTACATGTCAAAACGAATTTGTGTGCCAGGTTTCATTTTCATACCCTACACCACTTGTGATGCAAAAGTAATCAGAAGGACTTGAGAAGAACTTCCTGAATCGATCTAACCATGTCTGTCCGTCTTGTTTTTAGTGTTCAGACCACAGGTCGCAAGTTTTTAAAATGCCTTTATGGAAATTGGCATACCAGCACGTTTCGGCCCAACGGTATTTAAAGTGATTCAAATAAACCCACTTCTTCAATCGCTACTCATAGAACACCTTAGTTATATGGATTCACTATATTAAGCGAAAGTATTTAAGGAAAGACGTTTAATGATGGGCGATGTCCCACTGGGGGTTTTTGCTTGCTTAAAACTCAAAAGGGTTTACTAGACGCGGAGTGGCGAAATATCTATTGCCTTGAGAACATTTCCTGGAACAATTTTCCCATGTGGGAATGGTCATGATGGTCGTAGCGGCTTAAAACTCATGGTTTATTGATTTTTGACACAACCCCTTTTGTTTTGCTGTTCTATTATTGCAGTTGTGAACGATAGCGTTTCCTAGTAATGGTTTCGCGTTTGATTCGAACAACTCATAATACACTACACTACACCCAGCCGACCCTGCCAGCTGCTCAGTTCATCCGCACTTCCTACTTTAAAATTTTTTTTTTTTTTGGATCTTTAATAATCTATAATAAAGACAGATTGTCAGACATCGATCAAAAAAGCAAATATTTCACCACTATCTGGACCTCTTGTAGCTAGTAGTCCTACTTATGGGAGAACTGAAGCGTCCGCTTAACGTGAAGATTTCCCCAAACACAAGTCGTACTCTAAGCTGGAAAATGAGTTGAAGCCAACTTAGGACTACCTATTAAAGCGATATTAAATGTCTGCTCTTATGAATGCATTCATCCGTTCATCAATCCATGCCTGATTACGTGTGCCAATGTAAGCTTCTTTCAGATCCTTTGTTGTTGACTTGTCAGTTAGATCATTGAAGGTCGCAATTGCTCTAAGCTCCGTTATCGCATTTATTTTTGATGAAAATTGAAAAAAAAATAATCATGTAAGTCGCGAATTAATTCCATTATCTGGCTGAAAGTGCATATGAGGGAAAATTTTTCGAGCACCCGAGTAACCATACAAAAAAAGACGGGAAACTTGACTAAGCAAACACTATAACGAACGCATCTGTGTATATTGTGTTTGTGTGATAGACAAACGTTAGGCGGCCTTGCAAGTTGTCGAGATAACGAACGCCGACCTACATTTTGATTTAAGATCTTTTTAGACTTTTAGCTTTGCTATGGGTTACCTTTGCCTTATCGATATGAATTTGATGATCAAAGTTTGTTGTTATTACCACCGTGTTCACTTCATATTTACCGCGTATGAAGCGTTGACGTACAAATGCAAACGTCGCCAAACATTTCGATTGTTTAAATTGCGTCGTCGATGATGATGATGATGATGACAATAATGGTGATGATGTTGGCGACGACGGCGATGGCAATACTATTGCGTTTGGCAATGACTTTAATGATTGATGACCAATATCAGAAATTTTCAAGCGGTTTTTATAAGGCATTTAACATAAATCAAAAGACATTTATTTACTCGATACTATTTTCTTCTTTTTTCTTTTTTTTTTTTTCTTTCGTTTTCCTTTCCTTTCCTTGTTTTTTTTTTTTTTTTTTTTTTTGCAACTTCAAACTCGAAAGTAAATCAAATTTATGAGGGCTCCATTAACGGACCGCAGCATGTAACGACCGTCGTCTGTAAATGCAAACGTAACTGAAACTGAAACAAAACTGATGAGAACACTAATTTTCTAAGTTAAATAATAAGACAGTTTGTGACTGTTGTGTTAAAATTTTCTTTATTTTACATTTTGCATTTTTTTTATCTCAATTTTTATTTTTATTTAATTTTTTTTTTTTTTTTTTTTTTTTTTCTTTACTCATTACAGTTTTGCCTTTGCTGAAATTATGATTGTTTTAATTATCATTTGTATGAATAAATATGTATAAAGTTTTTGCACCGAAGCACAACGAATCCTAAGTTTTATGAATATTTTGTTTTTTTTTTTTTTTTTCTATTTCTTACTTATTCTGCATGTTTAATGACGGCGACAATAACAACAACAGACACAACAACATGACGTATTTACGTTGTTATCGTTGTTGACATTACTTGTACGGACAACGTGTACATTTTTAATAATTTATTACAATTTGCAAACAGCCGCTGCTATTAGAGCTACAACAGCAGGCAGTTGAAACCAACTTTATAGAGACGACAAAAAAAAAAACAAAAATTAATAATAATAATAATAATAATAATAGTAATAAACAATTTAAAAGCGCGTTTCAAAAATTTGAATTTTTCCAAATAATTATTAATTGTCGTTAAAAATCTGCAAGGGAAGCATTGCAGATTTACCACAAGTCGAAAGAGGTTTTCTTTTTTTTTTGTTTTTTCCTTTTCTTTTGTTTTCGAAACCCACACACATCCACTTGGCGATAATCATGTTTTATTAAATGCAAGTTTAACCGGAGTTTATAAGATTAGGAGGGCTTTTTTTTGCCCAGATTGCCTTCACCTTATTGATGAAATCGTCATCTTTTCCGACACAATCGAGAAATCATTCAACAAATCATTGGCAAGAAATTCAACTGGTATCCGAATATTGGAACGCAATCGAAGTGTTGATCTTCTCAGCAAGCAATTACTCTTAGAAAACTATTATTAAACTTGGACGATAATAAGCCTTTCAATCTTATTAAGGACTTTGTCTAAATGAACTACGATCGGTGGATGATTAGTAGATACTCTCCTATTCGCTACCAACTTCTGACATCTACAATCCAAGTAGGCTTCGTTCAGTCTATAGTTTAATTTTAGGTCAGTTGCTAACATATAATACAAAAAATTTATCGATCAGAGAGTTTTCCTCAGCATTTCATTTAACAATTGTTATTCCAAAAAGGTTAATAATAAAAAAAAAAAAACAATAAATAAATAAACTTATCTTCAAGAGTAAAAGAGTATTATTAAGTCGTCACTTGCCGGCATTGTGATTCGCCTGCGTATTTGAACTTATTTTATTCTTTTTAATGTATTCCTGTTTTTCTGTTTCTTTTTTTTTTTTTTTTTTGCACTTATGTTTAAAAATCAACCAAAGTACAGCTAAAAACGTCAGAGTCGAGTGACTTTAATGACGTCAAATAACCAAATTGAGAAAATTAGAAATTAAAGTAGGTAAAAGCCACTTCCTTAAACTATATTTAAAAATACATGAAGAGAAGAAGAAAAACAAAAAAAATCAATTATAAAACTTCTATCAAGACGTCACAAGTTGAACACGTGTTTTTGAATTTCAAACCCGTAAAAGTTTGCTTATTATTTCGTACCACTCACCTTCTTTATTTGGTGATTGCTGCTAGAGCTGGTAGCATTCGCATCCGATTCCCATTCTGAGCTTAAGTCGTCGCTAGATGCATAACCGTAATCACGGGGCAGCGGAACCTCTAATAATGACTTCGAGTATTGTACGTAGCCGGGACACAAGCTATTTAAACCATTCGGGGAAGGTGAACGACGATTTAAAAGAACTGATTTACGCAAAGCTAAAAATTTATCGGCAATAGCTTCTACACCAAAACTTTTTGGTGGTATCATTATGGTGGGCGTGGGCGGTGGAGTCTTAGGTAGAACGCCGGCGCTACTGGTGTCAATATTGCCGCCACCGCTGTCGCTACCGTAATTATCATTACGGCCGCCAACAGGTGAAAGATTATTCATTGCTAAGCCATGGGCCTGAGCAAAAGCCATACTAACTTTACGACTTAAGAACGGATTGCCCACCGACTTTTTACGTTGAGTTTTCTTACAGATGGCGGCTTCTTCTGCCTCATCTTCGTCGGCTGCGTTTTCCTCATCTTCTTCTTGTTCCGAAGTAATTATAGTCTCTTCATCTTCATCTTCATCTTCATCGTCTTCGTCTTCTTCATCGCATTTTATTTCTCGTTCAGTGGTCAACGTGTAAAAATTAGGATTGTTGCCATTAATTATGTTCTGTTGCTCTTTCTCGATTTCTTCGAATTTCAACTTATCCACCTCCTCAGGCGGTACCTCGGGAAAGTGGAGTAACTTCACCGTCACCTTTTTACCGGCTTCATTAAAATACACTTCCTTAGCATTCATTTTGTCAAAGTCTTCATAAATTCTTACTTGAGGGTAAGCACAAATAGGCATTTTACATTATAGTAGCTAATAAAAGACGCGAGATGCCACCATGTGTGTTAGGTAACAAGTGAGTATAATTTTTTTTTTTAATTTATATCAAAGTTTTCAAGTTCTTTTTCTTCTTTGTCTTTTCGAAGATTCTGTAATCGGTCAGTTTTGAAAACAATTAATCTTCTTCCTCTACTTCTTCTTTATTTCAACATTTAAATAACTTTTATGCAATTTTCACTTTTTCAAATCCTATGCCCTATGCATGTGAAGGAAGAAAAAAAATATAAAATAAGGTCTTCACAGGTTTAATTTAAGAGACAAGCAAAACTCAAGAGGCTGCAACACCTGATCGACTGCAAGAGAGAATTACTAATAGATCCGCGCATTAAGGGGTTACTGGTTAAACGGGTACCTCTGTTATCTCTATTATGCCTATTCTTTCCGTTATCCGCGTTATCTGACATCTATATATCTCTTTAGCTTTCTATACTATACTTTTATATCTGTACATCTCTATATTTCTATATCCGTATATCAGTTTTTCTATATATCTCTCTATCTGTATTTCTTTTAGGTCTGTTCACATCTTTATATCTTCACGTCTCTATGTCGCTATATATCCATACCTTGTAGACTCGCACTTCTCCACATCTACATATCTTTGCATCTCTACACCATCATATCTCTATATCTTCATATTTCTATAGGTTTTGAACCGTATACGTCTATAACTCAACATCTTTATATCGCTATATCTTCATCGTTGTGTCTCTATGTCGCTTATGTGTGCACATCTCCACATCGTTACGACTGTACGTCCTTGTATTTCCACAGCCTTATATCTGTATATCTCCATCTCTTCTAGATCCGCACGTCTTCACATTTCCATCTCTATATGTTATCTCTATAGCTTTATATCTTTATATCTATGTACCTCTATATAAATCTTAACACTTCTATATCTCTGTATAGCTGTATCGTCCTATCACTACATCTCTCTCTACATCAAGAGAGCAAGATATTGAAAGTTGAAGCGATTAAAGACTTAATGAGTTGAGCGATTAATAGGTTACGATGTTAAGGGCTATATATATATATATATATATATATATATGTATGTATACATGATATATATATTTATGATTTTTCATAAAACTCATTTGGCAAGAAATTGTTGCAATTGTTGCATGCAACATCGCGAACGAAATAAATAAGTAAAACATTGATTAAAGGAATAAATGATTGGAAATCGATCGGCGAATTATTGAAAGCAAGCTAAGCATGCATACACCTTGCTTAAGAGTTGCTTGCTCGTGTTTCCTTCACTTTGTAGGCCTCGCGGTGATTTTGTGAATAGATCTAGATATCTCTATAGTTGCCGACTACGAATATATGTATTACATACGAATATATGTACTTTCAAATCCTTATCTGTATGTGATCTTGATGAGCCTCTAAATATCTAAAAGTTTTATTGAAACTCTAGTAATAATAATTGCGCAATATTTACATACGTACATATATACATTTCATATACATATCTTCTTGAAAATATATCGAAAGTGACTTTAGAAAAAATTTTTACGTCTGTTTCTACCTCTGAAATAATTAAAAAATCCTTCATATTATTTTACAAATGTTTTCTAATTTACTTAAGCGAGAAAAAGTCCATTCGCTTATATTTAAAATTCATGAAATACTTTGTAATATGCACACACTTACAAAAAAGAAACAAAAACAATTTTTGTGCCTCGTACTCGCCACTGGATCAAGCTGGCAAACATGAAAAAATTGAAAAAAGCGCAAACATGTTCAATAAAACTTAAAAACACTACACAATAAATACAACAATTAGTTGGTAGAGATTTTTTTCGGTTCAAGTCGAATTCTTAGCTACGTAATACAAATTACGCTTTAAAACTTTTCCTTCAATATCTTATTCGAACCGTTCATTCTCGTAAAAACAATTCCTGGTTAATAATATTCACCATGACAAGATCTCTCTCTCTCTCCCTTTCTCTCTCTCCCTTTCTCTCTCTCCCTTTCTCTCTCTCTCTTTCTCTCTCCATCTATTTGAATATTTGTAATGGAAATCGGAAAATTTTCAATTTTACCTATCAAAACTGTATGTTCTTCCGTCAAATGGAAACGACGTGTCTGTCTCGTTCAGTTTTGCCCACTCAAACGAAACAAAATGCATTATTCTTTTTCTGTTTGCAAAGTTAAAGTAAAAAATGTAAACATTTTAATTACCAACAATGAAGTTAAGTCACAAGTTGTTGCAAGGAATGTTTCAAAAATTGAGGCAAAATTAAGAATTTCAAAAACTTAATCTGAAACTGTTTTAACGGTTTCATTATGTTAATGAATTAAACATTAAATTGTTTCTGGGTTATAATACCAATTAAATGCTTTATAATGCAGACCTGTTGCCAAAACTATTTATAAATATTTATTAGGTATATTTTCTTTCATTATCTGTCAACGAAAAACTCTTGCAAACTATATTGTTAACGTGAACGCAGCGGCCAGATACGAACACTTTTAGCGCTCGTACGCCACATTGAAAGCATATCTAAATTGGAAAAGTGTCTTTGATGAGATGTAAAAAAGCAATTAATCGTTAACGCAAAGGGAATTCGTTGCTGAGCCACCGCGTTACGATTCTTTAGGCCGATTAATAAGTAGCAGCCGTTATCATCGCTTGATTGCCGCCACTACCAAAGAAGCAAAACATTTCAAAATGAAAGGAGGAAGAAGAAACAAACAAGTAAGAAATTTATATTCGGTGGGTTCGAATCTCGCATACCCACCACTATACTTTGCGCACTCGACTCGCCAAGCTCTTTTATTTGATACCCATATCGCTGGTATTATTAAGAAAAAATTAATCGCGCTGTCTAAAAAATCCACTTCAAAATTAACCCATTTTTAGGCAGATAGGACATCTTCATTTGAGGAGCGTGCGTTTTGTCTTGTTTACCTCACGATAATAAATAAACATTAAACATCAAAAATGTGAAAAAAAATTAAATTTAATTACTCGTAACCACGTGTGGACATGACCGATTGAGACAAGAGATGAAACGCTTAACAACAATTCGCTGAATATTTCGTAGAAAAAGGGATTAACATCGTAAGAGAGATGTCACAATGAAGATAAGTACTAGGTATAAAGGGTATGTGAGCAGAATAGTTGCGGAATAATAAAAAACATCTCTGTCGAGTCAGTCGAGTCAAGTCGAGAGTTGAATCGCAATATTCGAACGGACACGACCACAATAAGCGTTGTCAGTATCAGTTCTAAACTTGTAAATAACTTGTAAATAAATCTCCCAAGGCTTGTACGTAAAACATATGCCATCCAAAAAATCACATTTCATTTACACGCACTTCACCTTCATAGGAGTTGAATAAGAACTTTAAAATCACAATAGGACATTTAGGATAAGTAACAGTGTTATACTTCTTTATAAATAAACATATTTTTTATATAACTCACTTTTTTTATATTACCCACTTATGTATTTATGCAGTTATATACGTATATATGTTCATACTTAGGTAGTCTTATAAACGTACGTACGTACGTACGTACCATCCATTTATATAATTATCTTGTTATATACTTTATGTATATTATATTATTATAGTATTAGATGTATATTTATGTACCTATATACTCATACGTCTATACAATTACGTACCTATATACGTATACTTACAAATTTCCATACGTACATACTTGGATAAATAACACTCTTTGCATATGACTAATAAGGCAATTGCAAAATCACAGCAACGAAATCCCAGGGAGCCGTTGTTGACAAAACTTGTAGGTGAAAAGTTCATAATTTACTCGATAAAATGCTTATGAGAAATCTGCAGATATATGCATCCATTTGCTTCCGTGCAGCAAATGCCCCAGATATGTCACATGTACAAGCTCCAACAAGCCAATGGATGTTGATCTGCCTTTAAAGAAGCCATCCTGCCATCATGATAACCCTGACTTTATTATCGGCGATAATCTCGCTGACAACAAAGCTTCCAACAACCGAAGTAGCACATTAAGTTTTGTAATGCTCCTCTAATTCTTGACGTTATCCCTAGAATCACTCTCATACGAAGGGAATAACAAGACTAGTTTTCCATGCTACGGGACATAATCAACTGCAAGATTGACAATTGTCAAAAACCTGCATCAAGGGAGTTAGCAAGCACATCTGCACAATTCCTGAGAATACGAGATGGAATAGCATCAGAATCTGGCAGACAACTGAACTTGAGAGGAGACGATGCAGAAACGATTTCCAATTCAGAAAGTGTAATAGATCCAAAAATATCGAATAAGGATAAACGTCGGACTACGCATATAGAATAAGAATTTTGAAAGAATTTTGCAAAGAGCTTGGCTATCGCAAAATCCTATGACGCTTATGAATCCACAATCTTCCGCTTCGAGTCGACAAAGTTATAAAAGATTGTTGGATCAGGCAGGTTTTTATATTTCATACTATTTGTGCAATTAACATAACATTTCTTTTTTAGAGAGCTGAAGTCACGCCTAACGGCTAAATATTTGACCACGTGAACAGATAAATAGACAAAAGAAATGTACTTCCTGCAAAGCATTCACGTTTAAATGAGCAGAGATTCCGTTTGAGTTCTTTGCAATCTGATTGACAGCGGGAGGAGCGTCATAAAAAAAAATGGGATCTACGATCTTTCCTTTCCTCTTGACGTAATAAGAATAGAACGAGCACGCCTTCGATTTGTTAAGCGAGAAATGTGAAACTCGATAAACATTTTCATACTTTTTACAGAAAAAATAATTATAACTTGAGTCAAAAATCAGAAAATTGCTTACTTCTCACATCGCAAAAAAAAAAAGAAAAAAAAAAAAAACAAAGATTAAATAGATTTTTTCGCGTTTCTTATTTTGCCAAACATGATTGATAGATTCATTATGTATTGTGTGTGATTTGTGGCCATAACGGGCAAAAGTGATTTACACATGTTGCCTCAAAGAGCCATGATGCCAAACATGGAGAAATGCTAATATAACCGGTGGTGCTGACTGAGGTGTTTATCTCACTCACGGCATAAGCGTACATATGGATAAGTGAGTGCCTTTGTTAACCACTGG